AGTCCTAATCATATTTGAAGAGTATTTAAAATAGAAACTCTACAAGAGAATTCTATTTGGATAGCAGGTTACATTCTTATAATAACTCTCAACTATATGCTATTCTGATTGAGTTAATCTCTATTTAAGGAGTTAATTGTATTCTATAAAATCAAGTTAGCTGCAAAGCAAATTTAGGAGTAGAGCATTGTTTTTCCTCCGTGGAAGGATGTCTTTTGTTTTAATTTCCTGCAATAGTATTTTCTGCTTTCTTCTTTTCTTGTTCCATCCAAATCATCACGTCGATCGCTTTGGAAATTGATAGTCAACCATAGCTTTAAATCATTCCCCACTTGTAGTGCTCCATCTTTGCAGTTTAAAAATTCTTCGCTACATGCATTGCCATCATGATAATTATTATAGAGATATTATAATAATATGACTTGCTATTCAAATATAATTCTCTTATGAAGTTTCCATAAAAATCCTAATCAAAACAAAACTCTATCTAGATCTGTAATTACAAACTCTTAATCAAAATAGGACTCTTTGACTTTCAGATCTTACAAACTTTTACTCACCATAGGGGACTCATACTACTAAACATACTAGGTCACAAACTCAACATATATGTCACAAACTCCTATCATACCAATGATAGGACTGTATGAAGTGTACTTCATACTACTAGTAGGACAATGAAGATGCTGCTGGATCAAGAAGTGGAAGTTGTAACCATAAGTTGTGCAGCAAGAAAAGAAACAATGCCCAACCTTTAGCCACCCCAAAAATTAAACACACTAAACCTAACGTATTGGGAATCAATCTTTCTCATAGTCCATGTGCATGATCCTTATGTCTTTGACAATCTAATCAGTGATTTTGTTTATTTCCTTTTTGCAGTACCTGCATCCCCCGCCCCTCCTTCCAAACACCCCCCCCCCCCAACCAAATAACATAAATAAATAAAATAAAATAAATAAATAAATAAAACATGAGCTTCTCTATTTGAGCAGTGGGCAAAAGGCATGTGCAATGTCCATTAGTGTTTTATACATGTGGATTACTTGGTGGCAAGAAATCAACAATCGTGCGTAGGCTTCTGCAGTGGCCTAATTCATAAAAGCATACCCGATTCTACTACAATCTCTTTGTTGAAACAACCAAGTATGGATCCAGAAATTTTCCTTTTGGAGCACATATACCATTATTCATATAAATTAATAACTTATGCAATGAAACTCCTATAATAGGAAAACTTATTCATAAGATAATCACAAAAACCACAAACGATAAATTTTCATTATCATTTTCATACTGTTACATGATCATTTACATTTTCATCACAAAAACAAAACAAAAAAAAATACTACGTTGATCAATATAAGCTAAGCTGCATAGGTATGGGTCAATGTTAAAAATAACGAAAAAGGGTTATGTAATGATTGGCCTTCTGTTAAGGGTTAAGGAAAAAACGCAAAAAAATGTAACGCATAATGTAGGTTACATTATTTATTAATTATTTAGATATTTTATAAATACTAACAATTTATAATAATTTTAATACTTAGAATCATCGAACTTTTTAAACATAACATCACAATTATCAAATAATAATATAGTATCACAATTTCTTAACAAAAGTTAGTCATATATGACTAACCACTATTCCAAAAAGCAACATCAAATGATCAAATACGTTAATGTCGTCAAGTTTAGCGCAATAAAAACAAGTCTAAACAGTTTCAACTCTCGAGTTCTTAACTTCACAAAAATACTATAATACCTAATCAAGTCACTACATCAACCAAGCTAAACATGATTATGTACTAACAGTAAGAAAGTTTGCATATACAAAGAATGCGTGCAAACTTAATTTCACAAACTCTAGTATTAACTAACAATTGAAAAGTAAAAACTAATCAAAATCAAGTAATAACTACAAGTCATTATCTAACCGACGCAAGTAACCCACTAATTAATTTCGGTACTCTAATTCTATGTCAGATCTTAAAAAATTATGTTGAAGGATAAAGAAATGGAGCACCAAGTTTGATATCACTTATGGTGAATTGACAATATAAAATATTAAAATTTAGAAGGCAATTTCAGAATCACCATTTATTTAAAGGATATAAACTAAGATGTCCGATACATAACTGTAAATAAAAATTTTATCTCACCAGACCGGAGTCACAAAAGCCGCCAATTGCCAGAGGAGTTTCAGAGGAGGCAGAGAACTAGGGCTTGGGTTGGAGGAGGCAAAGAGATCGCATACTCACAAAAAGAGAATAGAGTGATAGGGACCAAATAGGATAGGATTTAAATGCTTTGGACGGTAGAGGTGCATCAATGCGTCCTAATTAGAGATGCAAATTAACCTAAAAACTCATGTTATCTGGTCATATAACGTAACACACATTTAACGCACTATAACGTGTTTTTTCTAGGTTAAACAAATTCAGGGTTAAATGAAAACTGTTAAGTTATAAAACGGGTTATAACGAGTTTTTTTAAACATTAGTATGAGTGTGGGTTAGGGTACGTTTACAAGGCACGACAAATTTAAAAAAAAGTAAGATACGGGAACATGACGGAATATAAAAAAATATTTATGAGATACGCTATAATTACAAATTTAGTAGTTAAAGATACTATGCTTATTATGAATATTTTTTCCTTTCACAAAGTTTCAATCTATTTTACAAATAGCCTACAAAGGTCTTGTGTCTCCTCTAATATATATCAAGATAAAAGAAAGAAAATTATCTACAAATCAAGAAATCAAAGAATGTGATTCCTCTCTTCCACATAAGACAAATAATCAAATCCTCTAAACCATCAGATAGCAATTTGGTTCCCATATGCTCGGTCACATGGGAATATGACATCATCAACAATTAAGTATTCAAAAGCTACAAGCTAAAAGAAAGGGTAGCCCCGTGAACCCCTATCCTACACAAAAGACAAAATACTCTCTCTAACACCAAAATCCCCTTTCTTCATTGTCTTACTCAAATAATCAGCCCCCATCCTCTTCCTTCAAACCCAATCAGAACTATGGCGATGTCCCTACCATTTAGGTATGTACCCATACACGAAACATGTCGAACACGGGTACGAAGCCCTAATAGATATGTCGAGGTAACATAGAATAAAAACCTTTCATAATTGCTCTCTACGTGGTCTCATTTTTTGGTACTTCTATATGATTTATCATTTTCTACACCATCAAATATGCCTTTATCAATACATGTAATTAAACGGTCATTCAACCATTCATTTCTCATATGATTGCTTATTAATTTTGCTACTAAGAAAGTTCTTTCTATGGTTGCAATTGCAACTTGTAATATTGAAGCTAACTTCACAAGCATATATGCTATTAAACATGCAACTTGCTGAACTTTGCATCTTCACTATTCTTCAGCTACAAACTAATCATTCATTTTTAGAGATATAATGTTGCTTCTCTTGCAAAAAGAACAAAGCGATAATCCTTTAGAAACCCAAATTAAAGCATATTTTTTATGTTTGTACTAAATACATGAACTATGTAATCCCAAAGTTATCTTTCATAGAAACGAAACTACAAAATCTAAGGATCATACAGCACAAGGTCAAGGAGCTGTGAAGGCCACAAAGGCGAGCACGAGGTGAAGAAGGAATTGCTGGGGTGTTTTGATCAGGGATGTGCCTTTTGGCGAGGAATTGGGGTAGAAATTGATTATTTGAGAAGTATAGGTTCAAAATTAAGAAAAGAGAGGAATCTGGAATGAGTTTAATCATCTAAAATATTGGGCTAAAATTAATTAGGTTCTTTTGGATTTATGAAATAAATATAGGTTGTAACAGTTCGGGTTGAAATAAATTTGGCTAAAGTTCCAATAAATTGGGGGCACTAATCAAAATTGAATGGGGCACTGGTTAAACTTGAAGCCATCGTTTAAAAAAATAAAAAATCTACACGGGCATGTGATCCCAAAACACATTACTTAGATACGTCCTTGGAAACAAAGATGTTGGTTGCATAATATCCATTAAAGCTTTTATTGAAAATGACGGTTGGATCCCCGTGAACTTAATGCATAAATAAAGCAAACAATTAGATTATGCAGATCTAACATTTAGAGACTAAAATGCACGGATTACATAACTACATTAAATCATAAAACAAGATCGAGAAAAAAAGTTATCATGACAATTTAATTTATAGGTAAAGACCTAACTTTCCAAATTAACCGAAAGAATATGGAAAATCACACTAGTTTCAACTTTTTTTAAATTTTTTTCTTTCCTTTTCATTTCTTTCTAATAAAATAGATAATGAAGGTGGAGTTTGAATCTCCACTCTTTATTCAGAGCGAAGTCTAAAATTGTTGAGGAAGAGAAGGATTTTAATGAGCACGGAATGAGGAAGCGGTCTTGTATTATATATTCTTGACCAGCTCCAAACACTTTTGAACAAATGATAACAGAGGAAGAGAAAGTTTTTAACGAGCTTGAGCATTCAGACATTATACTATACTCCATATAAGAATGAGGACTAGTCTTGTATCATATATTCTTGACCAACTCTAAACACTTTCATACAAATGATAGTTCGTCTCAATTATTTTGTCTAAACATAATAGACATATACATAATCCATAAACATATTAAGTGGATTCAACAAAAGCAAAATTCAACCGAGGAATCAGAACTAAATAGTCATTATTAAAACTTCCAAGTGACTGAAACAAAAATAAAGACATGACTAAATTGGGCTAATTGCGGGACACTACTAGCACTATGATGGTGTAGCCATTCCATTAGAGAAGACATGCCTCACTTTGTTTTGACCTACTCAACATTTTAGACACTACCTATTGTCTTATCCGGTATTGTTTCTCAAATGCATAGACCCGTTGATTCAGTCATTATTAAAACTTCCAAGTGAATGAAACAAAAACAAAGACGTGATTAAATTAGGCTAATTATGGAACGTTACTCGTACTTTGGTGGTGTAGCCATTCCATTAGAGAAGAGTTGTCTCGCTTTGCTTTGAGCTACTCAACGCATTAGACACTACCTATTGTCTTATCCAATAGTGCTTCCTACGTCCATTAGTGCTTCCTACGCACATGGACCTGAGTATTCTTCGAAAAGCTAGTTCTTTTAGGTCAAACTGCTAGGTGGCAAAGTTCAATATCACTTATGTCATACAAAAACTAATTTTAGGACAAGCTATTGATGATCACCTCGGACATCACCATTGTATTAAATATCGGCCGCAATATTGCTATTATGGCTTATATATCGAAGTTAACAGGATGCTGCAATGATATTTATGAATTCATGTCATTTTTCGATTTTGAAAATTTTTGTCCAATATATCAGGATATATCGATCATATCGAGCGTTATATCGACTTGTGAATAGCGGCTGAATTTGCTCTTTTTTAAATTGATTGCAAGTGATCTGTTTGGGTTCCCAAACCAAATCTGAACTCGCTAAGGACTTGAACAAAAGCCCCCAAACCCCATTCCAGTGCCTCATCCCTAATCGATCCCAATTTCCATCCTCTCCGTTCTCTCCTCCCACCTTAAAACCCCAACTCTCTGTTCCCTCCAAAACCCTAGTTGAAGCTCTCTTGAAAGTTAAAACTCTCCCCTACTGTCTTCTTCTCCCTCGAAGCTTTCTTCTGTAGTTTCCTTCCTCATCGCCTGCGTTGGAGCTCTCCCTCAAAGCCCTAATCAAAGGGATGATGTCTCTTTCTTTCTTCTCAATCTCTTACCTATCTCTATTTCTTCCCCTCCCTCTCCTCTCTATTTCTCCCCCACTCCATTTTTCTCTCTCTATTCTCTCTCTCTCTCTCTCTCCCCGTCTCTCTTTTCATCTCTCTTCTTTAATCACTGTCTTCTCAAATCTTGATCAAGGAAAGAATGAGAAGGAGAAGGTGAAGAAGAAGAGGAATCTGAATTAACATTGAATTGTATTACTACATTGATAAGTTCTCTATAAACTATGAAGATAACTCGAAATTTTTCATTAAATTTAAAATTTAGATTAAAATTTACAATTTAACTGAAGTTGATTTGAGTTTATGAATTATGATAAAAACTCCATTTTTTGGACTGTTTTTGGATTGAAATTGACTATTTTGTGTGTTATGGCAGAAACTCAATATTTTGTGTCTTAAGTCAAACATTGACCGCATACACTCTTATCTATGTGATTCAAGATGCCAAGTTGGCTTATTCTTTAGTCCAAAGAATAACCAGCATGAGTCTATATGTAAGAACTCACAAGTGCATAATGACACAAGGCTCCTCAACGAGGTGGAGATAATATGAATAATTCAATACGCATAGACTCTGTTATCATTTTCTGATAAATGTTGGCCAAACTATCCAAATAGACATTAAAATATGCAGAAAGCTGGATGCATGTAAAGTATACATGATGTGATCACATAATGTTAACATTTTCACATGAGAAAGTTTGAAATTAAGTATGTAACTCATTTTACATAAGGTTATTTGTTTTATTCTTTAGTAGTTGACAAGTACCCAACTAATATTCATACGAAGAAAGCAGTCATTCAATTTTGCAAGTCACGATATTGAGTTTTAAATTTGAAAATATCTACATCTCGGTCTCCACCGAAAGAAACCAATAATAAATATAACTATACCTATATTTGCCTTTGAATGACGCCCAACCAACATAGATTAGGTTCAAGAAGATTCATCCTGGGGTACAAATCATGAGAAACTTACAAGTTATATAAATTCAAGAAATAAATTTCACTAAAAAGGTCTAGAATCATATTATATCAAGATCTAAGGTAATATTTTAACACGCATACCACACTAATCCTGTACACAAGGATTCCTGTAGAACTAAGATTCCAAAATACTGTATCACCAGTAAACAATACTTCGCTCATACGCTTGAAGTATCAAGTCCTTTTTAAACAAACCAACGATGCATCAATAACATGTTCGGGTTGAAATGTCAAAAATTGTTAATTCTGGCTACTGCAAGGATAGAGATTGAAGTGATGAGAAGAAACCCATCAATATTCATTTGCGATCTTTTAAATTATGATACAAATGTACTTAGGCGAACAATTTCCACTATTATTACCAAACTACGGAAGAGAAAAGATAGGATAATAACTGTAAATAACGATTAACCACACAAAAGTTGCTCGCATACAATATATTTTCAGATAAGGAACATGAATATTTGATATCTATATCATATGATCCCTACAGTCCTACACTGCACGGTCAATTTTACATTCTAAGGAAAAGAAAAAGATATTTGCAGTACAGATGGGTGGAAGAATGAATGTTTTGCAATCAAATCCAAACTGTGCAGTATAAAGTCAGGTCTGCTCTAGTCATTAAATCACAATAGTCATTGATAAACGAGAAAATATCGAATTGCAGCCAAAGAGCCAAAGCAACTTTAAAACATAATGGAGAACTTACCTAAGTTTTAGGGTCAATTCAGTTGCCTCCCTAAGAGCTGCGTTTGCAGCAAAAAGAGCCATTTTCCTCACCTGTGTAAGCGATGAGAAGAGAAACAATATTAAGCACATTGCATAAGACTATACGCTCAATGGCTAATCTAGATATATGAAACTAGATAATGGATCATTATTACTAAAGTTCAAGTGTTTCAGCAATGACTTCCTAATATACTGAACATGGTGCAAATACCTTGACATGCAAAGTATACAGCGAAGAGAACATATAGTATGTTAGGGGTCTTAATAAGCCCTTAAAACAAAAATTGGTTAGAGATTTGCACATAAGAGTAAATGTTCTCTTTTTGCTTTACTAGAAACGAGAATAAAGAAAGTAAAGGCTAAAGCCATAGTTGATAGATGGTTAAAGATGAGTTAACAATTACCTTGATGCTGTCAACGAGAGGATTTAGTTGTTCTGGGACCCTAAGATTTTGTCATTTTCAGTTATCCATAATAGTATTCAAGAGATTCATTGTCAGGTGAAGGACATAGTTGACGTTATTGATTTCCAAATGTCAGTGGTGTATGGTTCAGAATTAATAATGTCAGTGTCCCAATTGTGTTGTTGCAGTGTTAAATGAGCCTGGGATGTTGATGGGAGATTTTAATAATGTCAGTGTCCCAAGCTGAGAAGTTGATGATAAAGTAAGTAGATCAACAGACATGGTGGAATCTCTTGGTCTGGTTCATATGAAAAGCCTTGGGTGTTAGTACACTTGGCCTAACAAATAAGATGATCCACGCAGAGTATGGTTCAGAATTAATAAAGTTTTCAAAAAATGATCAATGGTTATGAAATTGAGGCATAGCAAGTAGATTTCTTAACTGCTACAATTTCTGATCATCCTCCTGCTTCCATTACTATCTTTAAGGATGTTTTTTATGGCCAGTAACCATTTTGTTTCTTTTCTGTGTAGGAAGATCATGTTAATTTTCTTAATGTAGTACAAAGTTTATGGCTAGAGGATTCTTCATTATCAGTTATGGGGAACTTCTTGAGTAAACAGAGGAAAGTGAAGGCTTCTTTGAAGGAGTTTAATAAATTGGACTTTGGCCATATCACTCATAGAGTGCAAAGAAGTAGGGATCAATTAGAGGAGGTACGAATTCTTTTACAACATGCATCAACTAATCAGGAGCTTATTTCTAAAGAGAGGACCTGTTTGAATAGCTATTTGACTTTGGCGAATGCAGAGATGAGTATTATCAGGCAGAAATCCAGATTAGATTAGCTCACAAAGAGAGATATCAATTCATTTTTCTTCCATTCTTTCATGAGATATAGTAGACATCAATCAAAAGTGTAGTGCCTTTATGATGATATGACATACTGGGAGGAAGATTGTTAGTAGTGCTCTTATTATTATGAAAATTCTTCACTTCTATCAGAATCTGATGGGGATCAGTGTTAATTGGGTGACTGAATTTGATCCTTTGGTTTTGAAAAGGGAAGCATTCTCGACAGATGATCAGAGGAATGAGTCGTGCTACCCTGTCACTGATTAAGAGATTGAAATGGCTTTAGCATCTGTTCCTGATTCAAAAGCCCTTGGCCTTGATGGTTTCTCTTCTGGCTTCTATAAGAAGGCTTGGGGAGTCGATGGTGCTGATTTCAAGGTTGCAGTTAAACAATTCTTCAATACTGGGAAGCTTCATAGAGGTATGAATGCTACATCTTTAACTTGGATTCCTAAAGTCTCAAATCCAACAAGGGTTTCAGACTTTAGACCTATTTCTTGTTATAGTACCCTATACAAAGTGATCTCCAAGTAAATTGCAAAAAATTCTGCCTTGCTTGATTGGTGATATTCAAGTTGCTTTTGTTAAAGGAAGATCTATCGTTAGCGATATCCTCATGGAGGCATGATCTTGTTAAGCACTACGGAAGAAAGGTATTTTCCCAGGGATATGTTGAAGGTTGATATTAGAAAGGCATATAACACTGAGGATTGGAGGTTTTTGAGAAGCATGCTTGTTCATCTAGGGTTCCCTGAGAGAGATATTGCTTGGGTTATGGAATGTGTGATTACTTCTAAAAACTCTATTCTACTTAATGGAGTTATGCATGATTATTTTGAAGGGAAAAGGACGCTTAGAGAGGGGGATCCACTATCCCCTTATCTTTATGTCTTTTGTATGGAATGTCTCTCTAGAGGTTTGATGGACTTGAGGGAGGACAAAGCCTTTAAATTTCATCCTAAGTGTGCTCCTCTTAAGCTCATTCATTTAATATTTGCGGATGATCTCCTGTTATTTGTTAAAGCTGAAAAGGTTTATTTGTTGGCCCTTCAGACGAAAATTGATCAATTCCCTGTTATGTCTGGACTTGAGGTGAATAAATCAAAGAGTATCATTTTTATCTCTGGGGTTTCCAAGGAGTTTAAGGCTCAAATTATGCTAGCTACTGGTTATGAAGAAGGTACCCTTCTTGTGAAGTATTTTGGGGTCCCGATGTCTGATGTAAAAGTGGCGCATAAACACTGTCAGGAGTTGGTAAGAGAGAATCAAAACTAAAGTTGTGAGGATCTTTCAAACTATCCTATGCAAGCAGCATAGAATTGGTTAAGTCAGTTTTGTTCCGTATGCATGTTTATTGGACTACTATATGCTCGCTACCAAATCAGACTACACATGATTGATGCTCCATGCTCTAGATTCATATGGGGTGAGAGGGAAGGTGAGCATAAAGCTCATCTTGCGTCAGCGGGAGACTATGTACATGCTTAAGAATCAGGGTTTATTTCATACTGGGAATTGGAACATGGTTTCAGTGCTTAAAATCTTATGGGCTGTTCACTTAAAGAAGGATATGTTGTGGATTAAATGACTTCATAGCCACTATTTGAAGCATAAATCTGTTGGAATGTGATCTCTAGGCCATCTAATTCTTGCTTCTGGAGAAGCTTATTCAAGGTGAGGGATTGGACTAGGAGTAAATGGCCTAAACAACAGTATATTACCCAGAATATGGCTAAGCGGATTAAAGATGAAACTTTTTGAATTTCAGTCTTGCTTAGTGTTTTAAAAAGCTTCCATCTAGCCTGCCCAGGCAACCGATTCCAAGGCAGTACTTACGTCGCCCACCTAGCGCTTAGTGCCTAGACTATCCACCTAGGCAATAGGAGCGTCAAGGAGAGTGTGAGCTGCTTACGTGGACTGCACCCTTTAGGCCTTGATCGTGATTTCCTTCATTGCAGCCTCCACATTCTCCAACCTCCTGCAAACTCCTCTATCCTCCAACCATGAACACCTCCTCTATCTCCTCAGACCTTAAGCAAAACCTCCACCACCACACTGGTATTTTTTGTCAATAATTGTAATTAAAAAATTAAAAATAGGAAAACCACCTAGCCCCCCTCCCCCCACCTACGCTCTAGGTGTCTGGTCTGGTCCATCGCCTAGATCGCCTAAGGCTTTCTGTAACTATGCTTGCTAAGAGATTTATTCTGTAACTACCCTCTGATTCATTGGTCATCTACAATATGGGAGAGATTTACTGCGCCTAGACATTAGTTCATCTTGTGGCTAGCAGTGAAGGGAAGTTTGTTGAGACGGTATATAGTAGTGCATTTAGGGGTTCTTCATAGCAATGTTTGTAATTTTCGTAATTGGGCATGGAAGAAGAGAACTTTGAGGATGTCCCTAGCTACAGCAGTTTATCACGTATAGACTGAGAGGAATACTAGGAAGTTTTAGCATCGCAATGAATGTTAATACTATATTTAAAAATGTTAATACGTACGTTCAACATTGTAAATAGCGTCGAATAGCGGGGCTATAGCGGCGCGAATAGCTGTCGCGGCCCTTAGCGCTACGCGTAGGGGTTTTGCGGCTTACTTAAGCGAGAAAATCCGCTATTCATTCGAATAGCGCGTAAAAGCGCTTATTAGCGCTTAAAAGCGGTTAAACCCGCTAAACCGCACCTATATGATTTTTTTCTCCCTGAACCCGACCCGAACCCGAACCCGACTTGTTACAATTAAACCCTCTCCCACGACGATTGCTTCTCTCCCACTCCAGAACCCTAGTCGCCTCCCGATTGCTCCAGCGACTTCCAAAATTTCTTAGTGGGAAACTCCGCCGCCATCCTCATGAGCCCCATCGCCACTCTTCCCCCGGAACCGCCGTCGTCCTCTCTCCCCCGCTCTCGCCATTCAAACCCCTAATCGTCTTCCTCCTCTCCATTCTCCCGTCCCCTTAGGCGGCCATCAACCATCGAGAAACCCAAACCCTAGCAATCTCTCGCCATTCTGATCCTTCTCTTGGATCCCCTGGTCCCGAACCCTGAAACCCGATACGGGATCTAAAACCGCGTTGGAGTTCAGTTCGACCGGCGGATCTGATACCTCACCGGTGAAGGAACCGTCGGAGTTAGATTTTGGCGGTTCGGAGGTCCTCCAGGATGACGAGCTAAAGAGCGCTGATACGGGGTCGGTTTGAGCTGGGTTACTGGATCCGATAGTGGACTCAAGGTGCCCAGTGACTGGAGTCTGGATAGGTCTTGGTATTCCACATTCCAGGATTTGTTGATTTGGATGATGGACGGAGTTCATGATCTCACCGGCATCCCATGGTAATTTTAGGTCAACTTTCTAGTAGTTAATATGATGATGATGTTACTAATCAATGTTTTTTTTATTGTTGAACATTTTTATATTAGAGACTTGAAAGTTAAAGAAATGAGACAAATAACAGTCTTTTGGATAAATAGGTACGTTTTTTCATTCTTTAATCTTTATAATTATAGTACTTAGTTAATATTATGTAATTATTACACATCTATTTCATGTTTAGACATCACGTATGCATTTATAGAATTTTTAGATTTTTATATGATTTTTCTTATTATTTAGAATATTTAAATATATTTATATTTGGCAGCTATTTGACCGTGCGCTATTTGCCGCTATTTTGCCGCAATAGCCCGAAATAGCCTAAGAGGGTATATAAATGTACAAAGTCCCCTAAATTTCATTTTTGGATTGAAAACTTGTAAGTCGTGCTAGTGATTCTTGGGTATGGCTAGGTTA